CACTGCTATATGATGTATTTGCTTAGGGAGAACATCCTCAAAGTTCTCATAACAGGGAAAAAAGCATTATTTTTTATCCATATGACATGAGGGGTATTAACTAACCTTACTGTGGTAATCATTTCACAATATATATGTCAAGTAATAATGCTGTGCACCTTAAACTTTTACAGTGCTGTATGCCACTTATATCTAAATGAAGCTGAAAAAAAAAAATAGGGAATCTAAACTGAATCTTAACATAGAAATATATTCTCTTGAGGAAGGGCAGAAGAAACAAAAGGTAACACTAGCTGATAGGGGTAGTATGTACCCCTACATGCTCTATTCTTTATCTGGTAGCTGGAGCTGTCCAGTAACTTGAAACATGAAAATTAGTGAGATCTGGACTCTTACATCATCAATAATCCAGCTTCCTTTCCTTTAAGGAGTTAGTCTTTGCCTGGATTATTTAGATTCAGAGCTTTTTAGGGAGGAAGAGTGACATTATTTGTTCTGCATGTGAAACTGGTTTATATCTGCCTGAAGCCAGCCTGGAGACATCGAAATCCCTTTTGTCTGTCAGTGAATTGGAAATAAATCTGGGTGATGAACCTGATCACTACATCATCACACTGCAGATCTTTGAATTCTTACGAAAGTACCTCTATTATGTCATTTTTGTGTGTGTGTATGTAGGATGAGAAAGAAAAATAGTCATCATTGCTTCTTTCCTCCTGGGTAGTATAAATATTTTTTTTCTATTATTGTTAAGTTAAGAAGAATTATAGTACCAGAGAAGATGACTTAACCCTCCTCCCTCCACCCCATTCCCGATCAAGTATCTTCATTCCCTTTCTTATTGAATTTACTGAACTTTCTTTTCCTGTGGCCATTTCCTTTATGGAATTTTTATGATTTTAATATTTTAATCAAGCTTGAAGGATTACATGTATACCACTCTCTCCTAACTGAATCCACTGATGGCACTTTTTGCAGTTATTTTATCCCTTCTCTAATTATTTTTTTATAAAAATAATTTGGACAGAGTGGAATAGTAGAAAGAAAAAGAGAGAATCCAATCTGAATCCTGAACCTGTCATTTGCTTGTTTTTGAACACTGAGCAAGTTGGTTAAGCTCAAGAACCCATAGTCACTTTGTTTGTAAGATGAGACCAATACTAATTAGAGTGTAGGAATAATGTAAAAAGTATAAAGATAATGGGGGGGGAGTGGGATCGAGGCCTAAGAAAGAGGGGATATATGTATACATATACTGATTCACTTCGTTGACACCAGAAACTAACACAACATTGTAACTATACCCCAATTTTAAAAAAAAAAGAAACCTGGGATAGAAAAAAATCAAATAAATAAATAAATAAATAAATACACCACAAATCAATAAGCCATTAGTAAGGAGAAAAGAAATTCTAATTTGTACCTGATTTACTCCAGAAGTGATTGGGTTCCCTAAAAAAAAAAAAAACATATATATATATATATATATATATATATATATATATAATACTTTAGTAGGTATTCAATAAGTAATCAACTTTATATAGTAGGTAGCTTGATGCATTGGCAAAAAGTATGGGCTTTCGAGGCATTCACACCTTTTAAGATAGGATTATTAACTGTTCAAGTCACTTATTATTCCTGTACCTTCCTCCACATTCACAAATGAGTGTTCTAACCCCTTGTATGAATTAGAAATGAGAAAAATGAGGCTCCTACCTTGGCAGTGCCAGGGATATAGCAAGTACTTGGACCTGTATTGTTTGTTGCCTGAATCTTTATTGAGTTGCCTTTTAAACACATTTAAATTCATCCATGATCATTTTCTTGCATTTTAGGCTTTGCATCTTGATTTTATTACCACTTTTATGGGCTGTTTTGTGTTAAGGTTAACCTTAGGACTAAAGTACATCTTATATGCTTCATATTTCCCTCTTAATAATTGAATAAAGTATGAGGCAGAAACGTTTATAAAGGTCGACCGTGGATTATTATTGCTCTTCCTTATTCCTTTAATTCAATAGAGAAGCCCAAGGCAAAGTGAAATGAACTTGATGGCCAGTGTATCATAAGCTAGAAAACAATTTTCCGTGAGGCAGAGTATAATTTTCACCTGAGCTAGAGACTTGGAAAATTTGTGATTGTTCACTACCAACAGGTTAGCAATGCACTGAGGTCAGGTCGTCCTGGGTTTGAATTGCAGTTTTACCTCTTTCTACATTTATGGTTTTGTGTGTTTGATTTAGCCACTGTGCTTTTCAGTTTTCTTATCTGTAAGATCCAGGTAATTAAGGATGTTTCTTAATTTAAAAAATGAGATACACAAGCAACTAATGTAGAGATTGAAAATATGCTTCATCTCACAAACCTAATTTGAAAAGTTAGTTAGTACTGGCTGAATGAGGGTGATGCGTTAAGGCCCCTTGTGGGGCTAAGTGAGAAAACATTCTGTGTGCCCAACGGTATAGAATGGGAGGAGTGGCTGCATGTAAGTCAGACATTTGTTCCCTATAGCTTGCTACCCTATTTTGTAATAAACATTCAATGAATGTTATTGTCATTGTTATTACTGAGATGCACTGAATGGTTACACTGAAGTTTTTCTAAGTTGCAATGAGTAGTACCTAAGTAAGCTAGTTATTTACATTTTTCATATGCTTGCCAAGATGCATTATAGCATTATATTTCTTATTTGTGGTCCTTTGGTATTTCCCCACCTCACAAGTTTTATAACTTAATAAGTTGCTTACGAGTTCTTACTGAACAAAATAGTTCAACCTAAGTAGTTAGCAACTTAATAATATTTCATTTCAAAATGGGTTTTAATCATGATAGATTTCTGACTTGGGAAAAAATAGTGCACTTTCTGAAATGATTTTTTAAAAATCAGACACTTAAATATAAAGATATGAATCTTGAAAGCTCTCTGGAATTGGGGTTTTCCTGCACTCTCTTTCTGTACAGATAGCTTACCTGTTACTATTCTACAAGTTAGTTGAATTTTTAGTAAATGAAAAGTAGAAGCCATATTAAATGCAGTGATGGTAGGACTTCTAAAAAGTGATCTATGAGCACTTGAAGACCCAAAGTAGAATTTCAGGTCAATTCCAAACAGAACCTGTAATGCAGACCCATCTTTCAGCTCTAACTCTGAAATTAGTATGTGTTTTCTTCTGGCTTTAGAATCCCTTTTAGAGATAAATAGTTGGATTTGGTTTATCATTAAGTGCTTTACAATCTTTAATATTCAGGATTGTGCATCTTTTCTGTTCTATAAATCACATCTAGTATCATTTTAGAATGAAGAAGTGGTTCCCTCTCCCTATGGAAAATTACTATTTGTTTTGTTTGGAAATATTTATTAGTTCAACATGCCGAAAAGAAAATTGTACGACATGGTTTCACTTATTAGGAGCTATTATAATTAAAAGATATAATTATCACAGAAACATGTAAAAATTTTTTAAATCCATGCCTAATCCTACCACTCTAACAACTATGAATATTTTGTATATTTTATTCTAGTTTTTGGTCTTTGCTTCAGGATTTCTTGCATCTCACCTTGAGCATTTGATTAAATCTAACCAAATTCTTCTTAAATGCGAACACATTTTAAGCTTTAAGAAAAAAATTTTTTTTCGAGCTATCATTTTTATGATAATATAGTTTAGTGACTTTTCTCAGGACTAGAAACACATAGCTGTGTGTGAGTGGTACCTACATTTTTATGCATGTTACATATAATTTGTCACCAATATTTTTACTAACCGGTCAAGCAAAGGACACTCAAAAGGTCAGGAGACGCAAATCAATTCAATTCATCAGACATATTTCTATTGACAGTGTTGTGCTAATGCAAAAAGAATTTGATTAAAATAAAAGGAAGCTAGCTCTTCCTTTGAAGCAAAGATGTACAACCAGTGTGGGTAACACCTTTAGGAAAAGCCTCTGATTATTCCTCTCAATGGAAAAAGCCATCATAATTATGATTAGTTAAGCTATAAAAGTCTGCTTGAAAAATAATGCAGGTCACCAGTCTGTTGCCTGGTCTCAGAAATTAAGTAGCTTCAGCATTTACAGTGTTTATTATAACTATAATATTTAACTTAAATACACAAATCATCTTAAAATATACTTTTGCCATCAGGTGAATATTCTTCCATACTATGAGCATAGAAGAGAGAGGGGGATGATAATAAGCGGGCAACTGATACACTTTTGGCTTTATTTCCAATTTTTTTCTCTTGCTTGGCTGTTAGTGAAATGCTATTTGGTGGGCAAAGTTTGTGTAACTTGAAAGTAACAGCTGATGGCCGAAAGGCCTTAGAATAGCTTTGCACATGGTGATGGGCATGCTAAATAACTGTCATATATTCACTGGATTTTTCCAAAGGAAACTGGTAAATTTTATTTACTTATTAAAATATAAAATGCAAATAATTTCTGAAAAAAGCTAAAATCTAGCACCAATGCTTAAACGCAAATATTTTTAACTCCTTCATTTAATCTTACTTTTCTCAACAAGGTTGTCAACCTTAGAGGGTAGGACCTTGAACTTCTGTTGTCTAGGTCCTGCATAATACTCTCCAGTTAGTAGTTATTCTATAAATACTTGAAGATCTGAAGGAATGAATGAATGTGAATAAAAAAGAACAAATGATTGTACATAAGAAAGACCCAACCTTAAAAAAAAAAGAAATGATGACAAAGCACATATTCTTGGGAGTTAGATGTTTCTAAGTTAAAAAATAAAAAATCAAACCTTTATCATGTACTACATTTTTGACTTTTAGGCATTTTACTTAATTTCTCCAAACACAAGTTTCCTCATCTGTGAAATAGACATGATGGTGACTTTTGGGGAATCAAATGAGGTAACGGATGAGAGTACTTGCCACAGAATCTGAAAATGTGTGGAATATAAACATGACGATGTGATCTGTTGCAAATGTTCTTGGAAAGCTGTATCCTCATACTGATTTTCATGATTCTCTTGCCAGGTGAAGCATACATGCGACTAAGCAAGCTCCCTGAAGCAGAGCATTGGTATATGGAATCACTGAGATCCAAGACCGACCACATCCCCGCTCATCTCACCTATGGGAAACTGCTTGCTCTAACAGTGAGTAACTCCCTTTCTCATCCTTTAGAAACTGGTTCTGCGTGTGCAGACTGAGGCAGATAGGGTTTGAGGTACTGGTTCCTGGCCAGTTAACCCTGGTTCCTGGCCAGTTAACCCAGATTGTTAGGATTTAATGATGATAATACTAAGTTAGAACTCTGTACAGAAAAATATAGAAAAATGTATTCCTTTGGCTATGGGGTTTGCCATAGATAAAATATTATATGTATCCTTGATGTAATTTAATTGAAATGTATAAATGGAGAACTCCAAATGTGTGATTATATAATGAACTTGTCAAAATAACAATATTTGTATAACGATTATGTTCTCCAAGCCAGTGTTAACCCCAGATTGGCTGTAATGTGGAATTAAGTCTGATTCTTTCCCAAAAGCCAGCATTATATAAGATAACTGCGTGTGTGTCCATCACTGTCACCTAGAATTCCTACTAATTGGAAATCATTCTGTAAGAGAAGTGGAGCCGTCATTTGGCCACCCACTATGTGACAAGCTCTCTTGGCCACATTTCTGTGAAAGTGGTATTATTCAAAGCATAAGAAATTGTTGATATTCTACCTTTGTGACTTACAAAAACTGTAATTTTATGTGCCTCAAAGCAATGTTAATGTTTTTATTTTATACAATCAGGGATTGTTCAAAATATTTAAGTAACTTTTCACCCAGCTAATAAATGGTACAACTAGCCTCAATCCTAATATGAATCTCTTATCTGTGTTATTTTATTTATATCCCTTAATCTCTCTCCAATATTACTAAAAATAAATGAACACTAGCAAAACGTAGAGCAAATGGTCAGGAAAGTGATTGCTATGTGAATTCGTAGAAGCATCTTATAATTATTTAAAAATAATAACATTTTTATTTCCCACAGAAGATGATAAGCTAAACACTTAAAAGTATTATGTATCCATTCTAAGATACCACTAAAATGTTACTAAAGAGATTATATAGGCAGACTAAGTAACCAGAAAACATCCCACTAAAAAATATCTAGATATGCCTAATGAACTACAACAGATATGCTCTTAATGCATGGCTGAGCTCAAGGTGTAGAAAGAGAATTTCCCAGGGATGGAAATGAAGCAATAACTAAACACCGGAACAGTAAACAGTAGGCTGTTCCTACAGCTGATTTGGGATAGTTTACCAGTTGCAACAACCCATGGGAAGGAGCTTATTGTTTGTTTTCCTTCTTGTTGGAATAAGAGACAAAACCTTGGACCAACAGAAAGCCAGAAATTAGATGCCTAAATAAAGCAGGAAAGTTCATATCCTCAGTGAAAGAATAATGTAGAAAAATTTCACATACTGATACAAGAGGACAGCATGAAAGTTTGTCTATCTCAGCATGGAATCTGAAATCTTTGCAGAGAATTTGTCACTATCATCCTCCCTTTACCAGGCTTTGGGTTTTTGAATTTACTTTACTTGAATGATCAGGGAATTCCTAGGCCAAGAAATTAAAGTCAGTCCAGTAAAATCTCTAGCTGAAGACATTACTGAAGGTGTCCTCTGAAAGAACACAGTTAAATCTAGAAGGAGTTACTAAGTGGGGAGCAAAAAGACTGGTGAACAAAGAAATGGTGATTATGTGGGTAAATCAGAATAAACTTTTACTCAGTAAAACTATTGAGAAGGAATAACCTCACAGGAACAATCAGAATGGGAGGGAAGATGAAATTTAAGCTGATTTTTGGAAGTCAGAAAGTAGAAAGAGGTATTACAACTGATTTGTCAGAACAGAGTAAACCACCATCTAAAGGGAGTTTGGAACGGGATAACAATGAGAAGAAAGCTGGAGAGACTCCAGACGTGGCTGCAGCTGGCATAGAAGAGAGTGAGTTAAGGAGTATAAAATAGGGTAATCAGTTCTAACTTACATGTGCGGCAGTCAAGTTTCTCCCCGTGTGCACAGTGCTAGCCAGCAGGCACTCACCTCCAAGTGGGGAAGGGATGCTCACAGTGGTGGAGCAGTTGGGTGAGAGAGCTCCATGACTCAGGAACAGCTTGCCCAGTCAAAGGTGGAATGCAGAGGGGACTGAAAAGAGGATTGACTGAATGTTTTCCAGTGGAGTACTCAGATTGTCAGTACCGCTCCCCTGCCACCCGCAGAACACAAGCTACACAAAGTTCATACCCCCTCAGCAACGCATGTACACACACCTCCCCTCCCAAGAAATGGTTGCATTCTTATCTGGA